AACAACAAGCATACAGAACCAAAATGCATGCCATTGCAGATAAAAAAGGTGAACCTAAAGAGCAGTATGCATTGTTGTGGGATTATTGTGAGGAGATTAGAAGAACAAATCCTGATAGTACAGTTGTTTTGGATACAATTTCTGAAAGTGGGAAGAGTGTGTTTAATAGATTATATATTTGCTTGAATGCTTTGAAGTTGGGATTTAAGGCAGGTTGCAGAAAACTGTTTGGTGTGGATGGTTGCCATCTGAAAGGTCCCAATAAAGGGATTTTGCTTACTGCTGTTGGGATTGACCCCAACAATGCACTTTACCCATTGGCTTATGCTGTTGTTAGTGTTGAAAACTTTGACAATTGGGAGTGGTTTTTTATTCTTCTGAAAAATGATTTGGAGATTGTCAATCAGCATGAATGGACCATCATTTCAGATAAGCAAAAAGGATTGATACAGGCTGCACAAGCTATTTTTCCAAATTGTGATCATAGGTTCTGTGTTAGACATTTGATGGGAAATTTCAGAGATGCTGGCTTTAGGGGGATAGCATTTAAGAATGCTGTTTGGAGATGTGCAACAGCCACTACAGTTAATGAGTTCAACAGGAAAATGGCTGCAGTTAGAGAATTGTGTGAAGATGCTTGGAGTTGGTTGTCTACAAAACCAGCACAAGAGTGGAGTAGGTCACACTTTAGTGTTATTTCTAAGTGTGACATACTTCTTAACAATGCTTGTGAGACATTCAACAGCAATATCCTTGAGGCCAGGGAACTACCAATTCTGTCAATGCTTGAGTGGATAATGGGTTATTTGATGAAGAGATTGCAGCAAAATAGGGATAAATGTGCAAAAAAATGGAACTTTACATTGTGTCCCAAGATACAGGAAATCATAGATGCTCATATTGATAATTTGGTAGAATGCATCCCCCTCAAATCTGATGAGTACAATTTTCAAGTTGAATGTGTGAATGGTGATCAGTTTAAGGTGGATCTAAGGGCACAGAGCTGTGGGTGCAGAAAATGGGAGTTGTCTGGCATTCCTTGTGTACATGCAGCAAGTGCAATCAATCTGCAAGGCTGGAGCATTGAAGACTTTGTAAACCCTTGCTACAAGACAGAGACATACAAGAGGGTGTATGAGCCTGCAATCATGCCTATTAATGGAAGGAAAGAATGGCCAGCAACTGCTTATCCTCCACCTGAGCCACCAAATCTTGGAAGAGCAGCAGGAAGGCCAGGAAAGGCTAGGAGAATGGAACCTGATGAAGTTCTTTCTAGTGGGAGAAAGAGGCCAAGAGGTAAGCCTAGGGTTGTGACCATTGGAAATACAATGAAGAGGCAACAGATGACAGTGAGGTGCAGCTTCTGTCAGAGGGAGGGTCACAATAGGAAAGGATGTCTTCTCTTCAAATCTCAAGGTCAACAAAGACCAGAAAAGTTGAAGGTAATTGTATATTAAATTGTTTTTTCATGTCTTCATATATAAGTTGATTTATGTTTTCATTATGTAAAGTTGATTCATATAAGTTTGTTCATGTTTTCAGCCTAGAAAGAGAGGTGTTGATCTTGTCCCAGCAATTGGAGTGTCAACTCAAGAGAGCACAAGTAAAGTAAGTAGTCATCTTTCAGGTTCTTTCAGTTTCAACAATTAATAGTCATGTTTACAAAATAAAACAAACTGACCTTACTTGTTCATGTTTTCAGACTAGAAAGAGGGGGGTTGATCATGTCCCAGCAGTTGGAGTGTCAACTCAACAAAGCACAAGTAATGTGAGTACTCATCTTGCTACTTTATTTGACTTTCAACTATTAATAGTCATGTTTACAAACTAACACAAACAAAACTTACTTGTTAGGTTACAAACCGAACTATACATGTTGCTCCACAAGCCCCTGCCCCTCTCCCTGTTGTTCCTGCTCCAACAAAGTGGTATAAATCTGCTACTCCACATGCCCATGCCCCTGCTCCTGCTTCTGCTCCATCTGTTCCTGCTCCACCTGCCCCTGCTCCACCTGCCCCTGCTCCACCTGCCCCTGCTCCAACACAATGGTTCAAAGTTGCCCCAACTCCTTACCAACAAATGCAGATGGGACATCCCACTAAAGGAGTGGTCATCAGAGGACCAGTACCATTTGTTAGTGGTCATTTTATACCTAGCCAAGAGAGCTGCCTAACTGAGAGAGATTCAAGATTGAAGGAGATATTCAAAGAATGTGGCCAAAAGTACACCTCTATTAGTAGTCTTGTTCCATCTGTTGATCCTAAAAAGAAGTGAAAGAATGTAAACAAATAAGTGATTTGGTTGTTGGTTGGTTGTCTTTGGATATAAACTAAATTTGGGTGTTTTGTTGGTTGATGGTTGGTTTTTGGATATTAACTGATTTGGGTGTTTTTGTTATTGTGACTGAATGGTAGGAAATTTGGATGGTTTAGTTGGTTCAGGTTATGGACAAGTTCTTTTTGTTTGGAATTGTGTTTGTTATGAAATTGTATGTGAAGCATTTTGGTTATGGAAATGACAACAGGTTCTGGTTATGGCTTGATCTTATGGTTAGTTTCTGGTTACTTTAATTTTTTTATGGTGTGATTTTGTGGTTATGAAGATGAACTCAAAGTTCTGTTTACTGTCTGCATAAGGTTGGTTACTTTAGGGCAAAATTTAATCATGTTGTATATCATTTGAAAACTTAATAAACATGAACATTCATCAAACAACAAGAAAGAATTAACACACACATAGTGGTCATTCATCAAACAACAACACAAAGTGAGAATTCAAAGGGAAAGATAACAAGTACAAAAGGTTCACACATACACATCTAATCCATGACTGAAGAAAAACATACAACTTTCAAACTTTCACCACAAGACAACAATAGAAAAAAAAACAAAAAAAATAATGAAGAGCAACCATGTCGCAGCAACAAACACTTGGAGCTTCAAGATTTTTTTTCGAATTTTGGACAATTCTTCATCATAGATGTCCTGCAGATGCAACTGGAGTTCAACACTCTCCTTCAATTTTTTGTTCTCGGCTTCAAACAATAACATCCTGTTCCTGACCTCAATTATTTCATTGCCAAGAATATGATTGTTCGAGCTCTCTGGATCATCCTCCCATCTAAAGAACGTACAACCCCCACCCTTCCAATTCTTGCAACCATGAAACTTCTTACCAGGATTTGATGGAGTCCTTGATGTGCGTAGTTGAGCTCTCTTACCACAGTAACATAAAAGATTGGAAGGCGACGAGAAGGAAGAAGAAGCCGACGACATCGGGTTCGCTCTCTCTCTCTCTCTCTCTCTCTCTCTCTCTCTCGGTTTCTTTCAATTAGGGTTCAATTTGGGGCAAAAAATGGTATTTAAAGACTCTTAGGTGATGTGGCAATTTCTTTATCCACCTCACAATTGATTTTCGTTTTATTTAATATACAGCCGCCACATCGGATAAAAAAATGCCACGTCAAAATTTTATCCTGGGTTGGGATAAAA